AATAAAAAATGCATATGTAAATATACGTATATATGGAAGCTGGCCGTTTTTGCGTCGAAATTCCATCCGCAGACGCACCTTGTCTGATTTCGCAGAAGTACTAGGCTCCGCGAGCAAAAAGGAAGAGAAATCGAGAGTGTTGCACACACAGCCCTATTCATTGACTAACTTATTGCTCGGCTGACGAACGATAAATACCTTTGTGCAACTTCAATCGCGTGTAAATGCGAAATTGAGCACAAAGAATGCTTGTGCAGCGAATAATGCGCGATCGAAACGGGGTCATAACGGTGTGCTGCTACTTCTATGATTTACTGTTAAAAGTATTAATTAAAACAAATTACACATGGCGTTTTTGTCTTCGTCGTTCAGAGATGGCGAATTTACGATAAAATTGAAATTACCGGAAATGCGCGATAGTCCTTTGACGATTAACCATTTTAAGATAAATCTGCGAACGTGGAATAAATGATTCGCTTTGTAATATAGAAATGGACGCTGTGACACGCGAAATTAACGATGTTGGCTATTTTAACGAGCAAATTTGTATGACTTTAGGGTCGCTTCACGATTTAGATATGACACTAGAATACATCTTCGATGCGATTTTATGCGCGAATTAGTTCTGTTCTTTATAATTGTAACATTGATTTCGTCCGAACCGAAACGCGTTTTAAATTTGAATTCGCAAATTATATAGAGTGCACTGCAATCTAGTTGCAATTATTCACCCGCATCGGTAATTCAGTTTCCAAGTTACAGATAAAATGTAGATCAGATAGGAAACTTTGTCTACCTTATCGATATAGAAATGAAGCTAAATTTGTTTTACCTGCTGTTGAAAGTGTCGCATGCGATATTACTGACTTAACGTAGAAAAAGACTATAATGATTAAACTAAAATCACAAAAGTGTTTCTAGAACCTTAAAAACATGTGGTATAAAAATGGTTTGCGTAATAAGTTTATTTTATACGTACTTGTCACGAGTCCTTTGAAAATATGACGTCTATTTTATGGCATCCGAAGTTTAGTCGTTCGTGACGAACTAATGAGTAAATCTACCGGTAAAACAGCGTAGGATCGTCTCGAGTTACTTCTTCCCATTCGTCCATCGTTTGTCGGCTCACGTCGTGCACGGATATTCCGAAGAAAAATTTAAACAAAAATGTCACTGGGTATGTGTGAAACTCCAGGCTGTAAAACTATGGCCAGCCTTCAATGCCCGACTTGCCTGAAAATTGGAATACAGGGTTCATATTTTTGTACTCAAGTAAGCAACATCCTATATAATCATAGGTTAACTCGTGAAATAAATGTCCGACATTTAAATATACATTGTATGACATTAATTAATAACAATCTCAATTTTAAGTTAGAGTCGTATTCATTTTATTTGTAGACTAATCACGATGTAGCACTGTTATTAGATTTTATTAGTAAATTTTATACACGTCTGAATATTTATGTAGATCCTAAGAATAATATGTATTTTATGATATAAATTACCAGAAATGTTTTCATTTGTATTTTCCGATACTTCTACCTATTGCTACATTTTAAGTATGTTCACATTTTGTTTCAGGATTGTTTCAAACGAAGCTGGAAGACACATAAAGTCATTCATCAATTAGCGAGTGAGTTTAGCGGGTGATAATTACGTAAAATATACCTATAATAACAAAAAATAAATCTACAAGTATAACTCAAATTATAAATTTCATTAAATATGCCCTCAAATATTTACTTATAAAATACCTTGTAAAAATATTCTTATTAGAGGGAGGAAGTGGAGACAAATCTACCAATGATTATAATCCTTGGCCTTCTTACCATTACACTGGAAAATTATATCCTCATAAGAGGGAACCTCGCAGAAAAGTACCTGAACACATTAAATGCCCAGATTATGCTACACATCCTAATGGTTGGTCTATAAGCGAGCAGTCGGTTTCAGGTTCAGCTCAAGTAAAAGTTCTGGATGATGAAGAAAAGGAAGGCATGCGAGTTGCTTGCAAGGTATAACAGTAGCTAAACATCTTAAAATGTATTTTTTGTTTTTCTCAATTTCTTTACATTTATACTTACAGAAAGCTGTCTTATATAGTACTTTAAATTTCTTTTTTGTTTGAGTATATTTTTATTTTCTTTGAAGAAAAAACATAAATCAGAATTACTCTCGTAGCTTGGACGCGAAGTTTTGGATGAGGCTGCACGTGCCTGTGACGTAGGTGTTACGACAGCTGAGTTAGACAGAATTGTCCATGAAGCTTGCATTGAAAGAGACTGTTATCCATCTCCGTTGAATTATTATCAATTTCCAGCTAGTTGTTGCACTTCTGTTAATGAAGTTATCTGCCATGGTATTCCTGATACTAGACCACTCGAAGATGGAGATATTTGCAATGGTACTTTATATCATACCCTCTTGAGTATAACATAAACATAAATACGAAAATGTTATAATTCTTGTTTCTTTCAGTTGATGTAACTGTATATCATAATGACTTTCATGGTGACTTAAGCGAAACGTTTCTAGTCGGTAATGTAAAACCTGAAGTAAGAAAATTAGTCGAAGTTACGTATGAGTGTTTAATGAAAGCTATAAATATCGTACGACCCGGTGAAAAATATAGAGAAATTGGAAATATAATTCAGAAACATGCCCAAGCCCATGGATATAGTGTAGTACGAAGTTATTGCGGTCATGGAATTCATCGTTCATTCCACACTGCGCCAATTGTACCTCACTATGCCAGTAAATATTTTACTTTTGATCGTTACGTTATATCGATAATTTTGACTTAACTTCTTTTCTTTACTTTTAGAAAACAAAGCTGTGGGTGTTATGAAGCCGGGACACTGTTTCACTATAGAACCAATGATATCTCAAGGTACATGGAGAGACGAAACCTGGCCTGATAATTGGACGGCGGTTACCGCGGATGGCCAATGGTCGGCTCAATTTGAGCATACGTTATTAGTTACCGAAACTGGCTGCGATATTCTTACGAAACGGCTCACAAATGACGGCAAGCCATGGTTTATGGATAAATCATAGTAATATTCCATTGTAAATTATTGTCATTTTATGTAATTTCAAATTTTGTGAATATGTAAGCGCCATATTGCTTGAAATATCTTTGTTTTCATTTATGCGAGATTTCTTTTTTCAAGATTAAGCTTTATAAATTCTATCTATGTATTTCTTATAAGGTATTTGTTACTGTTAGACTGTTTTATTGGATAATTTTGTAAAAATGGAAAGATAATGTAATAATGAATAATACCGAGATAATGAATTTTGGTAGATTTTTGTTTGTAACCAGATGATGGCTTCTGTATCATATGAATAAATTACCTCAATGATATATATATATATATATATACACGTAAATATAAATGTAATTCAAATTGGTGATGCGCAATGATTGAAATAACAAATGAATTTTGTAAATCAATTCTGTCAATCTTTTGTCCATCTTTTTACAATCAAGTACGAGTACATCGACAAACTTACCTAGCAATAAATAATATTAAATAAATTACTGTCCTTTGCATGTCTTTTTCCAATGTATCACCGACGAAAATTTGATAAAAATAATAATTTAACAAATTTTGTCTCAAGAAAGACATTTCGTCGGCGTACCTTGTAAAAATAACATAATATTTCTCGCTTTAGAGAAATTGTACTACTCATTGTCAAGTTACACAGAAATCCCCGTAAGAATAAAGCTAACCGGTAAATAGGATTGTAATAAATAATCGCGTGCAACGATATATACAAAATATTCCATTATAAAAATTTATACTCCAGTCTTGGAATTCAAACGTGATCCAAATTCAACATTTGTCCCGTCATAAGGCGTTCTATCATCAAATGGTGCATTAGATTGCGAACTACCGACATCAGCTTCGTCATTCTCGTACTCGTATTCGACTTCCGCATTTTCTTTCGTCTGGTCGTTCTGTGGTTCGGTATTGCTATAATCATTCTCATCTGGCACCATAATTCTCAATGGTCCTTTGTTACTATAAACATTCTGTCGCTGTCGCTGCTGTTGCTGTTGCCTATCGTACTCTTTTTGCCGTTCCTCGTACTGTTGCAACTGTTGTTCATGTTGTTGATTTTGTCGTTGTTTCTGTCGATTTTGTGCTCGATCCTGATAATATTTCTGATCATTACGTCCACCGTCATTAATTTCTTCGTTCTTATGATTAGGTGGCATAATCTCTTCACCTTGTGCGCTCTCTGGTTGCTGCTGCTGCTGCTGCTGTTGCTGTTGCTGCTGTTGCTGTTGCTGCTGTTGCTTTCGCAACTGCCCTATCAGTTGACTGTTGACATTTCCAGCAGCTGCTAGAGCTGCCAATTTTTCTGCTGCTTCACGATTTGGCAGGGTCGTGTAAAATTGCGTGGATATTCCATCGTTGTTGGCTACTTTATTGAAATACGTCGTCTGACTCTTTTGATTGCCGGTTTCCTCGTATTCGATGTTATTCTCCAATTGCTCGTTCCCATCGGTGATATACGCGAGATCCTCGTTCGGTTGTAAATCAGCACTTTCTTCGTCGTCCATAGGAGTCTCCGGGCCCACGTTGTAATTCGTATTGACCCTGCCAGCGACGTAATCCAGGTTGAACAAGACCTGCTGCTGTTGTTGCTCCTTATTATCTTGCTCGTCGTAATTGAACGATTGCATCTGAGGCTGCGAGAAACCAGTTACGCCAGTAGGCTGGAAGAATTGACCGAGTTGCTGCTGAAGAATGTGTTGTTGAAGTTGTGGCTGTTGACCTGGAATCAAGAGCCATTCGATCCATCTCGTTACATTGACGACGCTGTTCGGTCAATTTGATGTTCCCTATCGATAAACGTTAACGCGTATGCAACTTATCAGAAGACGTTTCTATATCACGTTCTGGGAAAGGCGGAGTACTTTCTCCAAACTGAAATATTTACCTTAATTTGGTCGATTATTGGATAACGATGAGAAAGGAACGAGGAGAAAATTCGGTAGACCTTGAACCGATATTGCAAAAAATATCGATGACATAAAGAAGAACGATACTATAGTGGAGGAATCGCGAGCATGAATCTCACCTGCTTGATACTGCTCCGGCATATTTTGAGGGAAGCTGTTCAAGAGATCGTAGGGCTGAGTGGCCGAGAGTGGAGGGTTGGCGAGTCCCGGATGGCCATGTAGATCAGGTATTTGTTGATTTATGATGAACGGCGTCTGACCAGCGATACCAGGGAAACCAACGTGCAGCGAGCTATGCAGATTTGTTTGCATAGGCAGGTTTGGCTGTCCAAGCTGAATGTTGGTCCCGATCAGACCTATATTCGACGCTGGACGATTGTTCAAGAAGACGTCGTTCGCTTGCAAATCAGGGTTCACCAGTGTCGAGAGCGTCGCAAACTCTGCAGGCAAGAACGTAGGTAAAACGGTCTGATAGTCTTTCTGCCCGATATCGTTGCTTTCCGTCACTTCGTATTGATGTTGCACTGGCGTGGGACTCGTCACGGTCTTCTGTGGCGTCAAGCTCGTACTAATGGTAGCTAGATCAAAGTTCGATAACAGCGAGCCTGCGAACGAAACAAAATACGGAAGAAACATGAAAATCCGCTAAACGTTAGATTCAGACATTAAGAACCTGAACTCGGGGATAATCAACTGACCATGAGGATTAAGTTTGTACGTAGCATCGGTTGTCTGCTGACGCTGAGAGCTATCTTCTGTATTCACTTCGCCATTGAAAGGTTTATCCATGGGGCTCAGATTAGGCGCAGGAATCGTATGAATCGGCCCTTTGTCATCGTCCACGCCGCCCCTGTGGGTCGGTGGTAGAACAGCGGCTTCCGGTCTGTACTCTGGGCTATATTCCGGCATTTTGTTCACGGAATGGAACTCCTTGACGGGTGGTCGTTGCGGCAGAACCGCGTGATTATTCAAAGGAGCTCTTATCGGGATTTGATTTTTCCAGATGGTAGGTGGCGCGTTGAACATCGGTGGTCGACGTATTCTGAGACAAGGAATAAACGGGGAAAGATCAGGGTCGGTGTAAAACCAGTTCCACGATGAGAATTCAGAGATTCACCTGTAATTCAGGGGTTTATAGCCCATTCTCTTTGGCGGGAAATTTCCATTCACGTGCACCGTGTTTCCCATCGAGATTCTATGAGCGATCGGCCATGTCTTCTTGTAAATGAGCTTCGGCGGTTGCGGTGGTGGCAACGGGGGTCTTCTGATCTTGTATCTAGCTTCGACGAGGCAGACACACACGACCAACAGCCAGCAAACCCAATTTGTCGTCTGAAATTTGGTTAATAGAGCGTGTCGGTCGGTCTACGTATTTTTCACGAGAAACAAAAATTGGCAATCGACCAATTGTCGCAATCGTAAACGCACAGTGGGTCCTCTTTTCACGATACGTGTCACTTCTGTACTGTGATTAAAGGATTTTTTACGAGAGAAATTTGTTATTTCATTTCATTTTTACCCGTAGTACATTCAAGCAGGCATAGAAGAATAGCTATAAAAATTTTGTAACGTAGCAAGCAATTATTTCTCAAGTTTAGAATACACGGGGCATTTATAACGATCGGAAATGCGGACACGCCAAAACCGGAAATCCAGAACTGTCTTACGGTATTCACATATCAACACGTGCACTTAGTTTCGTTCTTCGCGGCTATGGTACGTGTAAAGTAAATGCGTGCGATGTAACATAAGTCAGTGACTCTCAAACCTTCTTTGGATAAAATGTACCTAAAATTTCTCTCATTTCCTCGTTAAAATAATCGATCAAAAAATGTCTTAAAATCACGCAAGCCGGTGTTTGAATATCAACTTAAACTATAGATTAATTTACACTCGAAATAAGAATTAAAAGGCTATCAGTGTCATAATTAAGATGCAACAAGTTAAATTTCAATTCTTCTCAACTGTCGAAACAAAATGAAGTTCAATTAGAGAAGCAGCGAAGCAATCTGAAGAAGTTCACTCGATTATTAGAGGAAAAGGGAAGCCAATTATCCAGTTACGATATTACGAGGCAATAAAGCTGATCGTAAAACATTCGAAACGAAGCGTTTCCGTATTCAGCACCATTCGTAACCTGTTATGTCGGCCGATGATTTGAACGGCCGTAACAATGACCGTGACAATGGCGCCTATTGCGGGCATTAACCGATCGTGTCGTCGTTTGAGAAACGCTGGCACAGGCAATGAAACCGAAGAGAGAAGTGCCGCGAGTTGTTAGCTGGCAAAGTGGGACGGTGTGCCACATCGGCGTTGGAAAAGCGAGGGTAGTACAAAGCAAGAAGATGAGCGAGGTCGAAAAGAAAATAGTCGAGCGTGGAAATGATGGTCCGGCAGAAATAGATTAGAGGAATGGTGACCGTGGATAAAACTTGTTGCGTCGCCATGCTTACACTTTGTTTTCGTCCGATTTGCGTTTCTCGAGGCCACAATTTCATCTCTCGAACGCACACGCACAGGCAGACACACACTGTGCATCGATGATGGGAAAAGATTGGACGTGAAACGGACGCTGACCACGGGTTTTTCAGTTTTTATTCGTAATGCTCGTCGTTTTGATTTATTACGTTGCTTGGTAAATGAGATCGGGCAAAGTAATTTAATACTTTGAAGAATGATTGAAAACTTTGCGTGTGATTGATGGCACTTGCACGAGGGAATCGTGCCAAGTCGAGAATTTATATTTTAAACGTATTAACGATGTTAGTATTTTTCGAGTAGGCCGGTTTCTTCGTATTATTTTTCTAATTAAAATTCATGACAAATTTACAGTTAGCGAATGATCTTATTTCTCGGGTTCCCCTTTAGAAGAGTAGCGTGCGCGTGTATGGATTTAATTTAGTAAAATATTAGTGTCGGTGTTCGTTCTTTTCGTAATTTTTTATTTCTCATGCCTCTCTTTTAAACGGGAAAAGGCGTTTCATCGATGAGAAAATGAACTCGCAAATGTGTAGCTATTTCCTGTAATGATAATAATCAGACATAGACCGACTATTCTTTTTTTGTCATATAACAGAACTAGTTCCTACACTGGGTAGACAGACCTATTAACTTGATTTTTCTACTATACATCTGTATATTTATCCGCCATAGTACAATGTGAAGGATACCGTAAAACGCTAATGCTCGTGAAATTAGCAAAAATTGTATACTAATGGGTGCAGTTCCAGCTAATTTAACAACCATGTAAAATGAGATTGCTAAAATTGTACGTGAAAAGTTTCCGTGGAAGATTCAATGACACCCTGCCTTATGAACCTATGAAAGATTCCAAACGATGGTAAATCGTTTGAATCTTCCCTTAAATTCGAAGGGAACCTTTCAATGACAGTTTTCACGAAAGAAATCGATAGGAAATCGTAATGTACATGCAATAATCGCGCAAATACCGACAGAACAATCTTCAATGATTTCGAATTACGATGAATATACTTCCAAACAATTTCCAAATGTTGAATTATACAAAGTGCACCAACTGCGTTTAATTTCAACCGAAGAAATCTGTCCCATCTTCGACGAGATCATCAAACGGTCTGAAGCCGTTTCACAAAGTGTTATTGGCTAAAGATTATTATGAAGATTATTGAAGGTTTGTTCGAAAACGAAGTACTTGTCGAAAGGCCGATAGATAATCGCCATTCTGTAAACTCCAAGTGCTCTTACCTTCATCGTTTTACCTCCCAGAGAGTGTGTTTTCCGCTTTGAACGAACGACAATTTTCAGACTTATCACCGGCGTAACTTGAGGTTTTCACTGGAAGGTAGAAACGGGAAATAAGACGACGAAATGTACCGGAAGTTACAATCACAAATAATCGAACACGAGTTAACGCGCGCGATGATTGGACGTTGAGGAAGCACTGCGTGTTCTGCACGCAATTAGGTCATTGTCCTTCATTTATACTCACAACCGGCGAACGTATCACCGAAGGCCGAAACGCTGCCTCCTACCTTACCCTGACGGATAACAGCTGCTTCGAAATACGGAACGTAACTGGGAAAAGTCGTGTGTTCCACGAAATTCACAAGGAATTCCCAATTCTGCGGCTGTACCTTCTGCACGGTGCAACAGAATCCGCTGTCCATCGCGTTCAAACGTAGCACGTGAGTAAATTTTTCTTCTTCCTGTTGGTATGGGAAAATTTTTACCATTCGTTCGTAAAATCTGTCGAAAATTTGTCAAAATTCCCATACGATTTAACGCGCTCTTCGTTTTACTTATTTTCCCAAAATTTGTGGTGTCTTCCAAATTTTCATAAACGAAGAGGTTCCTTCTTTCTCGAGCCTTCAAATTTTTTATATAAGATACCTGTACCTCTTTTTCTTCTTTATCGTGGTTGCCTTTCTCCGATGTTTCTTCCGAGCCAAAGTCATGTGCAGTGAACGGCTGCCAGATAAACGGTACTTCGACGAAGCGGTCTCTAGAAAGAGGAAGAAGGAGATAGTCAACACAAAATCTTCGTTTCGACTCGATTTCATACCAGTCGGCTTTAATGGGAATCAATTTATAATAAACCTGAATTTCATTTGGATCTGATCCTCTCCGGGCATTCGTCTTGAGAGAATTCGCCTCGAGAGTGTCGTAAGTTCGTTATAGACGGGGAGACTAGCCGTTTCGACGGATGGTATTTTTGTAAATCTGCTGGGATCAGTGGACGAGGAATTCGACGACAGGAAAGTCGAATTGCGATTGTATCAAGGGCCCTCAGCGAGTCGACAGATGGACAGAACGATCGAAGACCGGTCAAACGCCGTTTCTCTCCATATCCTGCTACTGGGTTCCCTCGTGAGGATACACCTGTGTGCGTGGATACGCACGGACCAACGTGTGTGATCCAGTGACCCAGTATATTCGTCGGTGCTACGTGAGTTTATGACTAAAATTATGTGACCGTGCCATTCAATCTTTCGCAACCGAATGGAAATTTTCTCATCACGCTTCTGACCTCTCTGCGTATCTCTGACAATAACGAATTCTATCCTCGAACCAATCACATAAATCCGTGAGTTTTTATACTCTTTCCTTTTAACACCACGATCCCATTTCGTTCGTCCCTTCATCTCGATTCGTAAAGTCGTAGCTTGGTTTACAGAGCAACAGATATACTTTGACGTTGAAAATTAATCTATAGTCGAGTAAAGTGAACATTCGAAAATATGAATATACCGTCAAATGTGTGTCTGACCGATAAATTCTTTTGCCACCTTTCAGGTGTATATTTGGAAGCACCGAGTGATATTTAGGATCAAAGGTTCATTGTCCTCTATGAAAGGCTCGATGAAAGGAGATCGAGGCTGGATGTTGCTCCAGTCGCTTTATTTCGTGAACATCGTTCATTGCTCGTCATATTCGATGCAATCGTTTGCGTTGGTCGAAATGGGAATAGAATAATTTCTCTTCGATTTCGATATCGGTACGTATCGATTAATTATTTAAATATTAATTACGAACCGTGATCGAAACTGAACACGTAAAATCTGTATTAAGGTAAATATACATTTGTTACGGTAGCAGTAATAGGTCACGATAACGATAAACAGAAAGATTTATTCAAACTTGGAAACAAACAATATCAGATTCATTAATCGTTTCACTCGCAAGACATCACGCACGCTCGGATAGACTGATTAAAACAAATAAGATCGAGTTAGAAATATTACAAATATTACCATCTATGATAACAGATTGCAATTAGAGAAAAGGGAGAGAAGAATAAAGTAGTTACTCGATTTGTTATGGCCTCCTTCGTTGCATAAAAATCGGCATCGACGTTTCTCGAGCTTCATTTACATTCATACGCGTAACGAATCTTTATACACTTTCATGCACGACATTCACCTTCTCCTTAATAATAATCGATCATTTTTCGTTTCAATTGCTGACAAAATTGAACGAAATGTCAATATGGTATCAACAGATCGCGCGATCATACTGAAACAGAAAAGAAGAAAAATGTACAACTCGTTACTAATTCAACACGTATCACAAAATCAACTACAATAAGTATCCTCCATGTCAACTTGACTCGTGCCCATAACTGTTTGACACTCGTCGCTTTTTAATTTGCATGCTGAACTGCTTTCTTTTCCAGGATAATTCCAAAGAGATTCGTCCATAAATGGCTTCCATTGAATACATCTATGAAATTTCTTGGCTTTGTAACAAAGCGAAAGCTGAAACATGGACGAATACGTTCACACATATGCATAAGTATACGTTTATAGGTAAATTGTCCTTAGTTTACATTTTCATCGCATACACAGACTGGTCTTTGTCAAAAATTTCACGAATTTCGCATAACAATACAACACATCCACTAAATTCTCTTGCAGTCACTACAGTTTTGCATCTCAAACGAAAAACGTGTGCTCCATTTAGTATCTGGATTGTCGTTGGAATCTACTTACAAATGGATGGTACGCGTACGTATAGATCACTGTAACAGAAAATATTTATAGAAGATAAATAACGAGCTTTATGGATACCAGTTTGAGAAGCTTTGATCCAAGATATTGGCAGATGAAATAAATTTGCATGAAAAAGCAAAAATAAGTAGACGTAAGCTTACATAATGAACAAGTCAGATGATATGTGGCATAATATAAGCGATGCAAGATGCGTGCAGATCAATATCAAGTACCTGGGGTACCATGCACATGACAATGATCAAATCTTTGCCGCATATATGCCTATAAACATACTGAGCCATGAATAACAGGAAATTTCAATAATCGTGACAATCGTAAGAACCAAGACTATCAAGATCTAAAATCGCGACATTCAACTCTACTCAACCTGGATCACAGGTCAATAAGTTGAACGACATAGAAAGCATAGGACCTATCATGAATAACCACAGACGTACGGCATCTACTGTATACCATTACAAAGTTGAAGAATCCGCATATTTTGTTCGACCGCATGTACTATTAACATCGATACCTTCGTGTGTCACGCGACCAAGAAAACAAATATTCACGTCTAATCGTGATTCCAGTTACCTGTAGCCAGTCTTTCGATCTACCCTCGACGCAGTCTCATACGTTGCGCGACCTCGTTGACGGATCTTCTTCTCGGTACGCTACTTCTTCTTCGGTACAAACCGTGCAGATTGAAATTAGTGAATGGCTGAAGTAATGCCTGATTCTGCCAATATGGTCTCGAGTATGGATTCAACAATGGTATTTTTAGTGGTTCTTCCAACATGGGATAAGAGTTTGCGAGCAAGGGAACATTATGAATGTTCTCCTGCGATTGGAACTTGGGCAACTCGAGGTCACCTCCGACTTTTATTCCGGATATTTTAATCGACTCTATCTTGGGGTCTGTGTCGATCGAAAAACTCGAGTATACGGACAGATCGTTGCTAGATGTATCTTCGTTTGGAAAATCCAATGTTTCTTTAATAGGAGAAGCGTATTGATGGTGTATCGGTGGATACTCGATACTCTGTTGAATGGACAGCGGACTGTGATGATTCGGTGACTGATCAAACGTAAGAGGACGGTAGACCGGATAGTTGTGATTCTTAATGATGTCGTTAAGCGAATGATGCTGAACAGGTTGGCAGTGGGCGATTGTACTTCACGTTTTGATCATCTTGATTAACATTTTGATAGACGTTTATGTGCCCTACCACGGTGGTTTCCACATCTTTGCTGGGTAGTTCCGGTGGCGGGCCGTAGTAATTGTCTCCCGGTTTCGTTACAGCAGGTTTCTGGGTGTCCGAATTCACGCTATGGTGATCGTTACTGTTCGGTTTCGTCGCTTTCACGATCAGAAGGCCCGCCTGGTCACCGACTATAAACGTAACGTCTGTCAGTCGCGTCTCAATATTAATCCTTCGTTTCATAAAATGATTTTAATCGCTAATTTTAAGTGTTAATGAGTGTTCCTTTCGCACGAATTAATAAACATTCGTTTTCGCTCTTGCAAACATTCTTTCTTTACGCGAACCCAGTTCATGAAACGAAAAATTAATTCGCTTAATATCTTAAGATCGTACCCATTGTATTTACAGTTTGAGTATATTAGTATGAATACCTTCCAATCCACGAACTTCTCTTCTTTGCTATTAGTTCTTGATCCATCGACGTATTAAACATTCAGAGTAATCAGCCAATGCCTATATACATGCCAGTTAATACAAATTCGTTAATACGAACTAACAAACCCATTTTACAAAGACCCTCGAACGAATCCTCGGAGAAAGCACATTGCGTAAGAACCTTGATCCATCGAAAGGATCAGGCGCGAGCGAAAGTGGACTATCTTTGGATTTTGAAGATCAGCGGAGAGAAAAAGACGAGGGTGAGGATCATTCTCACGGAAGAGAATAATTGGTGAAGCCTCGGAGAAAGAGCGTATTCATCGGAACGTGAAATTTAACGAAGAAGCGACAGCATCGCAAACGAGGGAAAATTCACACAGACGGGACGAAGTTCAAACTACCGAATATAATGATCGCTGCAGACTTCAAGGTGCCATTCCTGGGAATTCTTCCGCAACCCGTCTCTCTCAACCGCTTTGCTCGTTTCCATATAGACGGAGGAAAGTTCCGGAGATTAGGATCTCGTTTGAAAGCGAAAATCGCTAGTACTTTCTTTATTTCAAAACGCGGAGCAGTCGCCATCGTGATTCTACTCTCACCGAGTTACTTTTTCATAAAGAAAAGACATGTACGCATGTCTGGCGTCTCACGCGTTCTAAACAAAGATACGAGTATGTTTAATTCGCATGCATCCCGTGTTAACGAGTTAATGGTCACGGTGGGATTCCCTTTCTATGAATCGTGCCACTAAAGAAGCCACTACAAAAGCAAAAGGTATTAGTATCGGTGCACAGGTGTTAATAATGTGTTTTAACGATGGTTGTTTACGTTGAAGAGCCTTACCATCCGAGGACGACTCGTAATTCGAGTTTCCCTGATACTCCTCGTGGGGCTCGCCGTATTCCTCGATATTGGGCGGTGGTCCGTCGTAACTTTCTTCGTGACCTGTTTCGTTTCGTTGCCATTTTAATTTCCATTTATCTTCGAGGTAATCGAAATTAGAATTTAAACGAATTCCCGATATTAAACCGGTTCGTAGATTTTTTTCCTTTATTCCGCGAAGTAATCTGTTATCGTTTTATATTTTTCTCTCAAGATAAGATTTTTCTACGTTGTTTTGGAATATAATTAACGTTCGTTATTTTGCTCTTTTAGATGTATTTTGAAAATTAAATCGAAGAATGGACTTACCACCCTCCGGAGGATAATCGTACAAGTGACCAGGATGAGATGGTGCCGGATAAGGGTGCACAGCACTCTTAGCGATATTGCGACCCAATGTCGTGATTGCATCCCCGGTTTTAGTAATAATTTTGCCTTTCGTCGCAACAAGGTAACCGCTTCCTTTCAGTAGCTGACCTTTCAAAGCAATCACGCCGCCACTTATGGCTTTCACGGCTTGCATTAACGTGCTAATGATCGCCTTTTTGAAGTCCCATACGTCGAACGCCTTATCACTGTACTATCATAAAAAAACTTCATTAACAAAGGCACGTGTACGCAAATTAATCGAGATGGGATTTAATCTTTACTTTATTCAGCATTATATTATTGCACGATACAGCTGGGATTAATATAAGAAAGCTTCTATACTAACGCAACAGCTACTTGTACTACGCTAACGTGAACCTCTATCTTTGCCACCCCTTTACACACAGCTGGCATTCGAATTAATCTCAATAGCATTTCAATTAATCTGTAGAAAAAAAGATGTCCTTGGAATACTTTGTGTTACAATTCGATAACTTTCTTCGTCGTTGCCTTTTGCGCCAATTAAAGCTCGAATTATGACAGGTTCTAATAATCGGTGATGACATATCACGGTCGACCTGTTTCACTCGATCGATTACCTCGGCATCGTAATTTCACGATGGAAGTTACAAATTTCTATATGCTGCTTATATGCTATATCGGCGAATCGGTATTATCGAATTGATTCGCTTGGTTTGAACCAAGTCTCTAACCTTTCCTTTGGAAGACTAAGTTTCGCGGCTCTCGACGCGTACTCTAAGAAAGAGTACGTTTTGGCGAAAAGAAATAGCGAAATGGTTTCCCGAGAATAGACGACAACCTGCCATCGACGTTTCACATTTCCATCGTGAAATTCTTGTTGGAAATATCGTACGATTCGATTAGGGTAGTGCGAAGGCTAGAACCAGCTAAGATTTCCCTCCTTGATTGCAACCTCGATGTCCCACATAATCGTTTTCTTTAGTGCAATTAATGTATCGATATAGTCGTTTGTAGTAGGTTTCTACGCTGATTATTATATTCTAACTCGTGTTCGCTAAAAATAGGTGCGGTTTTGATTGTAGCTGACGGGTTCGTTCGAAAGACTGGACAAACTTGACGTCTGGATCTCTACGATTTCAAAAAAGAACTAACCCATTCTATCTCTCGTGTTCTTTTTCTTTCTTAATAAAACTAATTCGTTATCACGTTAAAATGCAAATGAACTTTCTACACAGATGGAATCACTTTCACCCGTTGCGAATTACGTAAAATTTAGTATAAAACGAAGGTTTTAATCTCGTTTCCAAATACCAGCATTCCTGTTTCAGCTAGCATATAAACTCGCATATGAACTTCCGCCAGCAAATAATACGCTTGAAATGTTTTATAAAAGAGCGCGAAATTCGCCCGTTATGCCGAGAGATACCAATTACCGTCCGATATTCTCTAGAAAAAATTTCCTAGATCGCAACGTCTTGATCGAACCCGACTCTCACGTACTTGCAACGGCAAACGCAAATGGCTACATAGTTACCGAATAAACGTGTCCATATTCCGGCTTTGGCTTATCGGAGGTACTCGAAGACGAGCTCGACTGGACACTCGACTGGGAACTCGACGCCGAGATCGACGAGGAGCCTTTCGATGCGCTGCCCGATGCACTGACGAGGCCACCGATTATACCCTTGGCTATGCCACCGATCAAACTGCCCGATCCCTTCAAAATCGACGCAGAATCGGATCCAGACGGCTGATGTTCTCCGTAATGCTCTCCGTACGGTTCAGGTGGATAACCCTCGTATTCTTGCGACGGATACCCGCTAGGTGGCGACTCGTACCCATCTTGATTGTATATCTCGCGTTTCGATCCTGATCTCTTTATTCTGTCCTTCATCAACGCCGCGTATTTCTGATTCGCTAGCATCTCGATCATCGCGCGATTCCCGCCGACCTGGTTCACGATATCCATCTGCAGATTCTCCGGAAGAAGGTGATAGATCTCGTAGACCTGTTGATCACTGAGTTTCATAATTTCTGAGTCCTTCGCCGCATTCTCGAGCAATTGCAACTGCTCATCGGATGTTCCTTGAATCGACGCAATTCGTCGGTAGGGCGCTAGTCTCTCGAGTTGCGCCGATGCACGTGCGCGTAACGCTTGATCGTTCGTTTCCGTAGTCTTCGATAGAACGACAATCGAACAGCAGGAAAGCGTGAGCAGTGGCAGTAGCTGAAACGAATTGACACGTAGTTCACGTTGTTGTCTTTATGACATAAATTTCAATGTTAGAGGATACTTGGAACGCATGGAAGGTTGGGTAGGTTGTAATGTCTGTTTATAGTTATTGATGTAATCTCGTGGAATTAAGGTTAAGGTTATATTTTAGATGTTTCGTCTAGAATCGATTTTCGATAAGAAAATGGCGTCATGTGTGAGTAAATTTACTAATCAGTGAAGCATGGGGTACAGGAACGTGAATGCAGCAAGTGGAGCGATTCTTTGCGAAAGTCATATAAGGACGCGCGGCATAGGGTTCTGCTTTAGAAGACGTATATGTGTGTGCGACTGCCACGACGAATAACGATCCTGACAGAATTGCCGGTTTTACAAGCCGTATCGAGAGAAAAAGAAACAAAGTAATCGACGAGTGTTGCTAAAAAAAGATGAAACACATCGTAGTTTGAAAGTCGATCTACTGTCTCTGTGAATAAAAATTCGACGCCGGGCTTAACGTTTTTCGAATTTTTATCGTTCTTCGTTTGAAGTTTGACGGTAATTGTTTTTTATGCTATGATTTCTGAATTTATCTTCCGAATTTATCTTCTGGGACATTCCTTTATATCTTAGGTAAAAGAATGAGATTATTAAAATAAAACGCGAATGTAAAAATGATAATTATTTGAAAAGTGTGTGATTTACGAATTACGAGGTAACTTTCTACGATAACGAATCGCAAATGAAATAAACTCCGCATTCGTTGCGGGGATTAAATAGAAATCTGGAATGATCTACATTTTCACGCGAGCACATCCTTTAACTGCAAACCAGAATAAAAAAATGTTCCAAGTAGACTGCAATGTTCCTTTAGATTAAGCCATCGAAATTTATGTATGCATCTATATGATCGCTTTATTCGCGTAATTAACGTATCACGGATTTCACCATATACGATGGAAATGTTAATTCAAAAACTGTTATCGCGAAGAATTTTATACTGAACACGCGTTAAAAATTCATAGCTAGTACTTGTACGACTGCAATGTTTCGTTCGAAAACGAGGAATATGTAGAACCTCGAGATTTAATCTCTTCCATGTTTAGGGTTAACCGCACAAAGGGAATGTAGATTTTCTCGGCCGGACGAAAGTGATCAAAGCGTCCTTGCTCTTGTGCTTGGTGGTGTCAACGTTCGACCCAGTTACCATAAGCTCCTCCTCGGTTCGTACAAACGCGTCGCGTTCACCGCGATTTCTAAAAAACGTCTAGGGACCGGTATATCCTAGAAACGTCAGCTCGATGCCGGATCCTTTCGAAAGAAAGCACCCGTCCAGTCGAGAGTTCAGCGTAACACGAAAATCAACTTCTAGTTATCGATCGAAATTGATATCACGTCATGGTTGTTCAGCGTCTATTCAATCGACTTTCTTCGTACTCCGACCCGATAAATGGACCACTCGATTTGTGTTTCATTTCATCTCATAATCGGCGGCAACTTTCACAGCATTTTTCTTATCTTTACTGGGAAACTTGCGAGAGTGTAATTATTTTATACTTGTTTCTTACACGTCGGACAACGTTTTGTTTATCGGTGTATAGAAATGTATGGAAACGTTTATAATGCAGGACTTTAAGGATGTGTGGTATTGGAAAGCAGCATATTTGAAGAGAAGATAGAATAAACAAAAATTTGAAAGTTTTACTGTAGAGAAAATGCTTGATTAAAGAAGTCAATTTAACTACCGAATAAACAAATGAACATAACACAGACTTCGTGAGGAGTAAACGACCACTGGTTAATGGTGATACTCGTCTCGTTTTTCTTGCACTTTTACCTTCTAAGCAACGTGGAATTCGAAGGGTAGACAATGCGCGATTTTCTCTATCATCGCGAGTAAATCTCGAGAAAATAAGCACCCACCAGAGTATTCAATGGAAGAATGTGTTTTACTTTCACGTGGGTGTCAACCGCGACACGTTTACTCTCTATCGTGCCACAGGAAGCGATCTGCAATAGGATCGACTTATAGATGGTTCCTTATTGAATCTCGTGCTGGATCGTCATTGACCTTGATAAGAAGAAGAACCTCGAACCGTGATTTATGTATAGGTGGACCTCAAAATCGATGATTCAAACGTGAGAAATGAGATTTCGATAGGAAGAACGTCACTTCACAGATAAACCGTAGGGAATTCTCTACGATGTTGATCTTGAAACGCATACCTTCATGGTTGACTTTCACGGTAGATCGGTAAAAGGATCACGGCACTCTCACTAAACTCACTGGCCATCGCCATCGAGTATTTCCTCTCTTTATACCGACTCCCACCTTTTTAGCTTTACGAGAGAGCGTTGTCCACTCGTGGATGTTTTTTTTCGCCAAAATTCGGAAGTGATCTTTACTTTTTCGTTCTTCGATTGGAAAAGAAAGGAGAAATAAGAAAAGATCTAGGAGATCGTCGACCTGTGTCTGGTGAAATTGGTTTATATTGGAATTTTTACTTCCTGGATGTAAATTAAATTCTCTTAATGTCACACTGTAGAGAATGTTCTATCTTCTAAAATCTGTATAAACGTTATATATTACAATAGTACTACATTAAGCGATATCTATTTAAATTCATTTTTAAAAATGTTACAATAATTAAAAGAACATTTATATAATTATCATATAAAATTACAATAATTAAAGTAATAATTGAATTAAAAATTGTAACATTCAGAAAATTAAAAAATATTGCAATAACCTTATTCAAAATCATTCTTCGTCACTGCTCCTGATTTTCATTTATTTCAACCACGATTTTGACGAGCATTTTGGAAAATTGCCAATCGTGTCGTTGACTTACTTTCTTTGGTTGCACCCAGACACGGGAAACGCGACCAAAATTCATAGCAGTTCATGCACGCTGTATTATACTAAAATATGCTTCCTGAAGCGCGACACGATAAAGAAGGAGGGTAAGAAGCATAAGCGTGTTCTTTCTCTTGCTTAAGTTCCTCAGTCGAAGCAGGCTAATGAAAGCGATTTCAGTGAAATGCAAGCATATCCCTTGGAATAATGAATAGCCAGTTTTGCTCGATTTTCATCGGGCCAACTCGATGGTTTTCATATTTTCCCCATTCTCGTTCCACTCTACATGAACAGCACAATTGACCGTCTGCGCAATGACATAACTGGGATCTCATTAAGACTTACGTTGACGAGCAAACGCATGGAAACTCGACGATGTTCGTCTTCGAATGTTTTCGTGAAAGGTCTGTTGAGATCTTAAGTATTATTTAATTACTCGACGATTTAATTTGTCCTGTGTCAACGTTCGGTTGTACATAGGAAGGTATGAAAAAGATCTCCAATTTAACATAGGGAGCTATATTTCAAACCTGAATATTCCGAATAGAAAGCAAGCAAATCGGAGGAATTTTACCATTATTCCCTTCCGGTTACTCACATATCCATGTTGAATAGAACAGTCTTAGTGAGTTCACGAAAGTCATCTAATTCATAGGGAGATCAAACGATACAACGTATTGTGCATAATTCCCATGGACTCGATGTTAGTTTCTTCATCATTCTCCTCTTTTGATTTCATAGTTGTACCGTATTTTGTCACGATGATCATTCCTACGTTTGCTATTTTTACATTTACTTTTTATTTCTTCTTACATATGATCATAGCAATAGCGTCATTGAAAGTTAATTAATAAAATAAATGTAACATAAATTAAGAGGAAATGAAGTGTTTTGAAGCGAGAGAAATCGTTATAAGATGATACGGCAATACAAGATAGAGGCGAGGCAAGGAAGAATAAAAAGGCACGTGAAAGGCTCAGCGTTAAAACGATGTTTATCGACGATAAAAATGATGGTTGCAGAGAAAATTATAATGTGTCACGTGAACAACGACTATGCAGAAAGTAGAATAAAGTAAAAAATAATTGCGTTTGCCGATATAGAAAGCTAAATGACATTGCGATGACGAATGATACTATGAGCCATTCTGCCGAACGATTAATAAGGCCTTTATACTTTGAATGATAAAATTTTCCTATTGTAATTATAATGTATCTGTTAGGGATAAAGAAAATTTATATGCATGTGATTTAATTAAGTTATTCGAATGCAATTCGCTTTATTGCATAAAATTTGGATCAATGAATATTCTCGAAAATATTTACTTTCGATGCCAGTATCAGGTAATAATGAATAAACAGCTTTGTTTATTAAGCTATTTCATATCAATAGAATCGATATACATTAATTATTGGATTTAAAGGAAAGCAAGAATTTATCAGCTAAAAATTTTATGTGACAACAACAGCTTGCCGGAAATTGAAAGTATTCGGGACTTATCGAGCCATCTTCTTTTAATGCCAACAACTGACGATATATGTATTTTTGTTTACATTCCGTGTAGTACCCCTCAGCGAAGCCTTCGATTACTCTGCATGATTTATTCTCTTCTCTGCAATGGGTGTAAATTGAATAAGGATTATAGAACTAATTTATTCTGTATATCGTTGTTACTTCATTTTATATATTTATCGATCATTTAAGTAATCAATTTCATAAATGTATTACGTAATAGGATACCTTTAAATCAAACAAATATTACTTACAGACATGTCTCGACGTGTACGCTTTGCGTTAATGTTTCGTGGTTCACTATGTACTTCCACTCCAAGCCCTTCGTTATACCCGATTTAGGGAATATGATTTGTTCCTAAAATGACAGAAATAGTATTAATTTTCACATAAATAACTTAGAAAATTAAATGTATTAACTAATTCGTTGATTTATTGTTCTTTCTACTTGTTCATTTACCATAGAAACGCAAAGTGGTTCTTCGTCCAGTTCACTGCTGGATTCCGAAAACACCATCTATAAAACAAAAATAAGTAGTACCATAAGAAACTATGTATATTAGAAATGAGGTATTTTTTAAATTATCACTACATTCCATTATCTGTTAACGCAAAAAACTAAACATCTTACCACAATCCTGTGAAAAATGATTGCGATCAATAATATCCCATAAAGAATATAATTAACATCAATTTGAATATTTGTACGACATACAACTTAAATATTTCATACATCATATCTTGTAATATTTGATTAATGAAACATAATAAATTCGATTCAAATAATTCACGAACCTCGTCCGTGTTCGCATAATCTCGAAGATGAGGATTTCTCTCCAATTCCTCTAACACGGCACCAGTTGGATAATACGTTGTATGTTCGCAGTAAGTTCTACCGTGGCAAATCGGAACTAAACAATATTATATATTTGGTCAGTGGAAAGCACTTTTACGAATGCATGGTGTAATATCATTTAAAAAAAAAAAGAAACATTTATTTATGATCTTCAGTTTTTGTTTAATTATAGTACCTTCCGAAATATTGTTTGGTTTCTCCAGGGGAATACTAAAGGATTTTGATAATTGAACTGTAAATACAAGCTGTACATAATTAACATAATTAATTAACATAATTAATAATTATTATAAAGCGAGAAATATTTATCTATCGATCGGTGTGCTTAATGTTATATGTAATATATTATTACTCTTAATACGTAACTTAGTATTTGAGTGAATAATTTTCAAGAAATCGAAATGAAACAAAACAAACGATATATTGTAATGCTACTGATTATTTAGTAAAATCGATTGTTTCAGTTAATTTATTATAAATGATTTGATAAATATTCCGAGCATGAATTTACTGTGTAGATTTCAATCGGTTCTTTAATTCTTCCTGACTGATAAGAAAATCATTGAAGATATTATGAAATTTCAATTTGAAAATACATAAATCGAAACGATAAGCTCTAATCTTATCTATGAAATTTGTAAATACTTAATTTATTAACTAGAAATCTTTATTTGTGTTGCAGTTTTAAAATATAATAATGATATGTATTATAATAAAAAATTAATCTAATAATAATAATAATAACAATAACAATAATAATTATGATGATGATGATAATAATAATAATAATAATAATAAATAAGAAGAAGAAAAATTAAGAAAGGACAAAATATTTGTTTCAATTTAAAAAAGGTACAATGACAATCTCACCAATAAGAATCCAATTCCGTATAATAACATCATCGACTGAAGGATCGATTAAAATTCGTCGTGCTGAAAAGTAATATAAACTTCTATTTATCTGGATACTACGTTCAACAAATTATGGTTTATCAATACTTGTTAACATCCTTGTTAATAATCGAGCGGATGACTAAAAAAGTGGGAAAAAAACAGAATGAGAATTTTTTGTTTCAATGTACTTACGTTTTAACTAACGACTTTATTTAGTTTCCTTTTTAACAAATATGCACTCTAAATTCGTTATCGGAAGTTCGATTTTATTATCTTAAAGAAGTACATTAGCTTTCGTGACTTTTCAACGACTGATCTACCCACTGTTTTATATCAGCATCCACAACGAAAATAAGATTACTATCACTTTATATACTTTATTTACTTTTCCCAACATATTTTCATTGGTTTCCTTAAGTTATCCAACGATGTCTGTTGATTTTATTACATTGGTGTTTATAAAGTTAACAAAGTACTCGTATCAATAAATAAATGTTCTTTACAACTACAGACACACATTTTTAGAAACATTATGATACAATTAAAAATTCTTTTTTAAAAAGATTTTATTTTGTGTGTAACAAAAGTATTAAACAATAAATATAAGTGCTACCATTAATAATTATAACATAATTTTATTTAATTCTATCAAATGTTTACATTATTAGAGGAGAAAGATACCTATGCAATTACTATAATTATACTTCCATCAGTAAAAAGTTTATCATATATTAAGTGATTGAAACATATACTTGATAACTTGAACTCATTGATTCAATGTTTCGTTAAGATACAATTGTTTATAATCATGTTAATAACACCAATTTCATTATTTTAAATAATTGTAAAAACATAAACAAACATGAAGAATTACAATAATATATTAAACAGTCCACCACCAATTGCTCTTAAAGAAAAATCGTTACATATGAACGAAAATATGGGTCACGCAAAATCACCAATAGGAAGGAATATTGGAAAGAAAATCTAAATTACTAAAAAGAATATCTTCGGGATAACTTTGAAGATAAAAAATTCCAATTAGTGTCAATCTATAATAATTAGAAGCGTATCTGCTTCATAAATTTTTATTTTATTAAAATAAGATTGTGTAATCATTCCTACGATAAAAAGAATATTACTAAATGTACTTTACTGCCTTGAATGTCCCTATTTGTAGTATGGCCAGAGTACTAGTGTGAAGTACACCGCGGTTACTGGCGTTAAATTGCTTCAGATCAGTCGATTTCGTATTGTGTCCAAAGAAAATCAGAAAAATGTCGAAGAGGAATTCAGGGGACGAATATAGAAAAGGTTTTATTCATTTTATTTATAATCGTATCGGTCGCAATTGGTAAAATAACATTTACTTTGTATCTTACAGAAAATGGACAGTGCTCTATTCTTGATTTGTTTTCGTTATTGATTTCATGTTCACAGTCTTAATCATGGCAAAAGCAAATCTTAAATATGTAATTTAGAAAATTGATTACGGAGCAACAGTAAAAGAAAAATAAATGGCCAAATCGTAGTTTATTTTCTAAATCTCGTTTCTTACTTTTCATGTGCCATTTTTGGTTGCACGCATCCTACAACCATGTGCCAAAGGATGCATCGCAATAGTAAAAACGGAATGAATGTTAACCTTATATAATAAAATTATCAAGTAAATATATATTGCATTTCGTATTATTATAAATAATCTTAGGTCGTGTATACTATACGTACACTTGTTTCTTCGTCATCATTTATTAAATTCATTTGTTTTTGAATTTAGTCCAGAATTACAAGAAACTTCTGCTAAGCATGCCGCTTAAATATTTCCGGTTAAAAGATACAATGTTGTTTAACTTGATCTGAACTTTGCCAGTGTTTGACGTTGTCAGGGTCAAGTGTGTACAGAGCAGAGGACTCCACAGGAGATGACAGAGGCAGAGATCGTTCACCACTTAGATCAGATGACCGTTGTGAGGCTGGTAATTACAATCAGAGTGATGCAAAGAAACAGAAGCTGGCATTTGGATTTGGAAAGAAAAGTGGAGCAGATCAAAAAAAAGGCATTCAGATAAAACTGGGCTCGACATCAGTAAGTAATAGTATATAAATTAAAGTATACATACAGATATTTGTCTTTTTTACAAGAATTATATTCTAGAAGCCTACAGTAAAAGCGACACCAATTCAAAGGCCAACAGTGGCATCTGTGTTTAATGCAGATGAAGAAGATGAACCTGAGGAAATGCCAGCAGAAGCAAGGATGAGGATGAGAAATATTGGAAGAGAAACACCAACTTCTGCTGGACCAAATTCATTCGGTAAAACTAAACAAGGGTTTTGTGATTCCAAAAAGATATTTGAAAAAACGCTCAAAAAAGCAATGGAAGAAGCAAATAAATGATTCCTTTGATGTACTTGGCAACTATTGTTAATTGTATATTAATTCTACAAAAAAAAAATGCAACAATAGCGAGATTCTTGCTACAGTTATATGCAAAATATTTTTAACAATTTTATGCATTATTGGCAAAAACTAGATACAAACTTTTATTTTACGTTCAACATCACATTTTGAAAATTAATAAAGTATTGATTACTTGTTAGTGTTAGCTAATATTAAGATTGCACTTGTGATGTACTATTTCTTTATGTACTTCATAAGGAAGTATGGTATATAATAACAAATTAAATGTATGTAATTTTTACATTGTTCATTATCATTGTATTAATTTTGAATTATGTAACAATAAATTAAAAAAATTAGAAATTATAGAAAAGTTGTAAAATAATTTATCTCGTAGAATAAATGATATAAATAAAAAAGTTATCAATTTTGTTTTTTATTTTATTTAAAATTTACATATTAAGTTATTTTCTGTTTTGCTGACCTTGACGCAGATCCTAAAAAAAATGCAGTGTATTAAAATTTAATAGCTATTAATGCTATCATGTAAATATTGATATTAAATACACAGAAATATATAGCTTTAATAATTACCCTGGGAAAATTACGAACTGGAGGTGTCCTAATACGACGGCTCGCTTTAGACCTATTGCGAACTACTTTTGAGTGAATAGCACACGATACACAGTAATGCAACTTGGCGTACAGCTTAGGAAGTTGATATGCGGAGTAAAAGCTTGCTTCTGTAATATCTCTAACAGCAGCTGCTTCCACAATATTACGAATAACAAACTTCTTAATTGCTTTATCCTTTGGTACACATCGTGCACAATTGGTACAACGAACTGGATTTACATGACCACGGCCATGCTTGGCACGTCCACCATTTCTGCGCTTACAAGTCTGAGAAATAAAAGAATTAAATTAATAGTAATGGTGATACATAATGGTTATGACTGATTATGTGAGCAAATAAATATTGTCTATTATATATTTCTGATATCTGTTAAAACATTAGCCAAAATACTGCTAGTTACGTTAGCATTTTCCTTCAATATTTTAACTGTTACTATCAATACACATAAAGGTTAAGTATAACCATTTACTATCACATAAAGAAATTGAATATTAAAACCATAAATACTGTATCTTAATATATTTTTGGACATCCATTTCTATAAAATATAATTTATTAACAAAAAATATTTGAAAAATATATACTGTAACAACCACATGGTTCGTAATTGTTCAAAAGTTTGATATTTCACATATACATCGTTGTTGATATTAACTGTATCATACAAAACTACATTTCGTACTAGTTTTTTAATAATATTATGTACTCTAAACATACAATATGTACAATACCATAAATTAAAGGAATTATAAATAATAAATAAGAAATAGTTACCATTTTGTTTCGTTAGCTACAGACGAAAGGTCGGAAATACAGTATAATGGCATTACATAGAGTTGATGAGTCAAATTAGTATACTTCCGCTTATGTTGGTATTTAGTTTCAAATCGTTTTTAAAACGTATTATTCGCGAGTTTTAAATTTTCGTTAACTTTGGACTATTTCTTTGATTAACTTTAAGTGATAATGACACGAGTAATATTTGGCAATGGGAAAATTAATTTAGAAGAGAATTCAGGATAAGAAATTGCTGTATAAAATAAAATAATACTATAATATAAGATTTGAATTATTCTAGGATATATCATATATTTTGAACATTTGCATATTTAAACACTTGTAATTATTTGATACATAATTTTAGCAATAAAATAATATTAAAATTATAAAGTGTATTTAAAACGATAAAATTCTTCGTAATATATTATTCAACGCAGTTAACAAATTTTTCGAACAAAATCCAAAAATGTTTGGAAGTCGAATAGAAATTGTTTTTTTTTCATATTTGCATGTCTAATGTAGTATGAATTTAGAACAATTTGAAGATGCAACTTAACATATTTTCCAATTTCTAGTGATATAATATATGCTGCAGTTTAATGTGTATATACTGCATAGTGACAAAATGGAAAAATTTTATACAGTAGTAGAAAAAGTGGAAGTAATATTAGTTGCAAAAGAAAATATTTCGAATTTTCTCGTTTAGTTTTGTATAATACGCTTTAATGTAATTTAATAATAAACAGTTTTTACGATTGTACTGATAGAAAGAAAGGAATGTTTGTTAATCGTATCAACGAATATTGTCAATAATTTAATATTATTTTTTCTGACTTTGTATACTACTTTTAATTGTTTATAGTCTGCTTATGTTTTTCATAATTTCATGTTTTGAATTTTACATACGATGGTAGAAGAAGTAGTTAATTCTACTAGTAAACCAAAGGTATGTTAATTTTATTGTCAAAGCGTTATAATTGTCGCAATAATAATATCGTTGAAATTTGATAAGTTTTACTTTTGTTGTGCATCCTTTAATTGAAACGAAGTAAATTGGTTAAAGCTACAGAAATTCAGTTTATACCAATTATAAATGTATAAAATGTTACAGAATAAAACTGCTAGACCACGTCCAGTTTATTTGTGGAATGTGCTAGACGTACAAAAATGGTTGAGGAGGCATTGTAGCGATTATTATCAATTATATCATGAAAGGTTTTTATATGTAAGTACATAATTGAAGTAAGTACACATAAATATACATATATTTTTGTACTTCTGACATTAAATATATGATTAGTATTATGTATTTTTAAGCACGATATCACTGGAAGAGTTTTATTAAGAATAAATGAAAATATATTAATGAGACTTGGAATTGACAATGAGCAACACAGAATGGATATTTGGAGAGAAATAATGAAATTGCATCTTAAAACAGATATGTTAGAAATTAAAGACATTGAACGACGTAATAATATGAATTTTGATTAGTACAATATATATAATCAAATTAAATACGACCAACAATTTATGTGATACAGAGTTTTATCTGTATAATAATTTACATTGAATAATTGTTTTCCATTAGTATTAAAATATTAGTAATTTTTTAATCTATTTATGTTTAATAAATAATGTACTGTTGTACATATATCTAATAAAGTGTTTGATGTCTTGGATGCATTTTTGTTCCTGTTCTTGTAAATTATAAATAAAATATATAATGTCTTACAATATTTCCCTTAATTCTTCTTTTTGTGAATGTAATTAGTTTCTTATAATTAATACTGAATATTTTGTCATATTACAAAGTTATTACGTTAGTATAAGACTTTATTGTAAAAATAAAAACGTTCATATGTGTTGGTTAATATTTGTTATTTCTTGCGTTTGCCTCTCCAGCTGCAATCGACTAGCTGCGCAACAGAAATATTGGAAAAAGAAGAGACGATACATCGATCCCACACCGACAGTCCTAATGTGGTCCTAGCGGCCACTTTTTCTGTACGGCGTAATATGCTTTGACGACTGCCTATATCGCGGCGTAACAATACGTATCATACACTTATTATAGACATACAAATTTTATACATACAACGGTTTTGTTTAAATTCAGTAAGTTGACGCAATGGTCGTGTTTCAAATACTTTATCCCTATTTCATTTCATTCGATTTTCTCTCGTACGTAATGACATCTAATATATATATATTTATATGTTTACTCTTATTTGTACATAGCGAATTTTTGGTTAACTCTATGGTGGGTTGATTGTCGTAATATGTAGTTATCGGTCGCTTTCGTGTTCTGTAAATAACGAAATCGGCTCAGAGTGCTTGTTGCGTACACCAAGTCTGGCTTCGTGAAGTTCCTCAGATAGATGATTGCTCCAACTAGTTTCCGATATAGCTTTCCTTCCATCTCCACTCTTTCGTACTCGTTTCTTGACTCATCTAGTTTGGTAAATTAAGACATTTTATTCCCAATTTATTGAAACTGTAGTATGTATTTTCATATGTAAAAAATTTATACAAAATAAAAAAGAATTGAAAAAAAAAGAAAAAGATTATTCTTTTCTCTCCGGAGTTGAGAACCGGACTCTAAGTAGGAATACTAGTCGTACGATAAATCTTCAATTGCAAATGTCTTCAAAATTATTGAGTAGTGGAATTTATAGACATTACCATCAACATTAGGGGAATTAAATCTACCATTCTACAAAATTTAAAACTAATCGGTGACTCGAAGACCATGTAGTTTCCTTGTCAATTCCGTTCACGTACCTCCCAGTCCATTTAACGCTGTAACGCCAATCCTCTGTCCTCGGCCCCGGCTGGTCTGACCGGCGATCCATCATAGTTGCCGGCATCGGAAAAGAAAGACGACTCTCCTCCGGCAGCCAGGCAAACGAACAATCGGGGTTAGACCCCGGGAGATGGCTACCATGTTCACCTGCGATGTTTAGTACTCATGACTAGTAATTTTCGTCCATAAGCTATTCAATACTGTGAACACTTTCCACTGGCCATCTTCTTATTAGCATTTCTTCTTTTTCGTTTCTTTAAATCACTAGAGTTAGCTTGGACCCATAATCTGTTGATTGAATATTTGTAATGAAGATAGGCATTCTTTTCTCGTAGCTGCAATCGATCAACTACGCAACAGGAATACGCGAAAAACAAAAAACGATACGTCGTTCACACACAACTCCGACTCACCTAGTGTGGTCCTAGTGGCCATCTTTGCTGTATGTTGCTATACACTCTCATCGATATGTAATGTTTGTTGGAATTATATGTACATATGTACAATATACATTTTACACAATATAGGTATATACGTATATTTTAAAGAACACGAATCCAAAGTCCTAGTAACTTATAGTTCCAACATTTGTATTTCATTAACTGGCGGTGGATCGGAGAACATCCTTCGTATTCTATTGTATACATCGCGCAACTCTTTAGCATACCTTTCCTGAAAATTAATTTTATACAATGAATGAGAAATGTGGAATCACTAAAAGCATTAATTGGTACTTACGTTATATATCGCGTAAATAAATGGATTGGAACAGCAGTTGGTCATAGCAATCCAGTCGCAGAAAAACCATACGAGACGAATGTGTTTGTACCTGGAACCGTGTTTCGTAGTGAGCCATAACGATATATTATTAATATAATAATCAATATCACTAGGTATATTTTGAACTGGCGTGCAAAAGTCGAATTACTTACATCCTAATTGAATCGTCGAAATACAGAATAATGTTGTATAGTTGTAATGGGAACCAGCTTATTCCAAATACGCTCACAATTGTAATTATCATCTTAATTGTCTGGAAATGTAATGATGAAAAATTAATACGCGTTAAATTCTAGATTAATTTAAATCTACATACTTTTACCGTAGCTTTACCGTACCTTAATTTTATTATGGTGTAAATTTTGATCACGTGAACACTCTGGATTCCCAGGTAGTGTGGCATACCAAAGTTTCAATCCGATTCTTATATATATAGTACACATCGTTATCAACGGTATAATATATTGTGTAAATGTCATAAATAGGGAGTATATTAACATCAAATTATCAGATATATTAATATTCATACACACATGTCTATCATTTGTTTCACTACCTATAAATACCAAAAGAACCGATTAGTCAGGTAAAATTATAATATGTCATCTTTGATTTTTTATCTTTGAAAGTAGCAAAGCGATGGACGAAAAATACTTACGATTTTGTGCATTGTGCAAGACAATTACTCTTCTAGAAATACCGACTGGACTTGCAATTAATATAGATATAATCCAGATTTCAATAATTAAAAATCTGATTGTGCGTTTTTTTAAATTGGCACTGTTGATTGTGAAATATTATTTATCCAAATAGAAACGGAGAAAGTTGAAAATTGTTAAGTTTATGTTTGTTGAAAGATAAACGTACCTAAGAGGTTTCATAATCGCACGATATTGAATAACAGCAATTGCAGTCAAACTGAAAATTGTTACAGAAGAAGAAAAGACTTGGGCTACTGCACAAAGCGGGCATAAAATGTCTGCTAGGGACCATGTTTTTAACAGAGTTGTCTGAAACTTGTAAAGAAACAGAAATTGTTGCGATTAGCGTAAAAATATTTTCTTCCGAACATTATTTTAATACATATGTATATGTACAATGGGTCAAATAAATATTCGTAAATCTCATCCGAATTAATTTACTACGTTATAATTTTAAATATAATAGTAATGGTTAAAAGTTCCTTCGGGTATCTTCAAAAGTATTGTGTTGAATGTTGACGTAACAAAGACAGAGGCCCTTTGACAGAAACTACTTAGGAACGACAACTGAATAAAAATCAAGCGTAAAAAGTTTCCGTAGACATAAATTTATTTTTATTGGAAAATATCTTTAGTTTAGAGCAAAAATTAGTCTGGTATAAAAAAGGGGGACTAAACTGGGCGTGGAGAAAGGTTTTGTAATACAATGTAAACAGTCGCAGGTCGGAATTAGGGACCCGGAGGGGGAATTGCATCGCTCAACCTTCTAGAATCTCGAATCAATCAGTTGCTTACAAGAATTTCGACAGAAACGATACACATACTTTCCTCGAGTAATAAAAAATAAATTAAGAATAAAGTATTCGTTGTCGTTCTTTCGTCTTACTAGAATTTTACAACTCCGAAATTCATATTAAGTTAAGCAATAAAAGTTTTGCATTTTATTTGCAGGTAATAATCTGCTAGACCGTGCTGTACCAAGATTTACGTATTCGACCCACTGTAATTGTTAATAACTAATCAATTTACATGAAAAGGGATTGAAAAGAAACCAATAATTATATTTGACAAACACATATTCCGTATTAACATGTTAATTGGAAAATGTGTGAGAATGTGTATATCCTAATTGATTCTTCTAAATGTCTTATTTCTCGAAAAGATTGGCAGACTGTCTGGTATTTACTAACTCTTTCGTTGCGAATTAGCTGACTAAACTATTGTAATGCAACTTGCTATGTTATCGTAATGCGACTCATCTTAGCTGTTGAAAAACAACTAACTCTTGATCGTTGCAACAATATGAATGTGAAGACTTGAGAATATGTGGAAGGGGACGGAAATGGAAAGCACTGAGGCCTGCTCGCCTCTGGCGAGGAACTAATGCACAGGCCCAAGCAAATCCTTGGAAGAAAGTATAAGATTAGGAAATGCGATATAAAGGACAAACTCTAAACCTCGTGCAAATCTCGAATGGAAACAGAATTCACGCAATAATTCACTCTTATCCCCTGATGAGGTTATAGTACTATAACCGTCACAAATGTATTCAACACGTAAGTTCACTGTGCATTTAGCATGACATTTATATGACAGAATTTTCTGGGAATTTGCAACGTAATAATTTTGATTTAGCTTTTAATCTCATTCCTGGAAATTTCATGTGAATCAGCATTTGTACAAGACCAAATTATTATGCGATTTATTTATTAAATTATTCCGCTCTTTCCTGAAAAATGAACAAAGGATAGAAAACGTTAAAAAAAATTTGTTTTGGTTAGTACACAGTTATTCGTTATTTCCTATATCTGGATATGGGAAAATGAATATTTCAGTGAAATATCTATATTGCTCGGTAATTTATGTAGGTATGCTAGGGTTTGAGAGTGAATGCAAAGGAACACTTGGGCCTACCTAGCTGATAATAGGCGATAAACAGCAGCCTAGGGTTTAAGCCGAATGTTTAGAGTGACGTCTGGAGTGCACGCGAAAGGACGAATGACCGCGTGTAAGGATCGGACCAACGGGATATTTATAACTGTATCGAATGCAAGTGAAGAGCGAAAGGCGTCTGAGTGTCTAGGGTACGTGACCCACCGAGAGCGAGGCTATGAGAAATGCGTGATTGAAAAAGAGAGCATGAGTATGAAAGAAGACAGAATGCAAGGTTTAAACGAGGGTACAAAAGCTGTGCTAAGATAGTCTTTTACGGAGTTTGAAGAAGAGTTGATGTGAGAGTGTTAGTTGCGTGATCATAGTCTAGTCTTTTAGTTTGTACTTTACCCCTAAGTCTCATTTAGTTCGTAATAAATGTATATTGGAGTAACCCAACATCTTTTATTCCTTACATTTGCCAATCAAAAGTATCCCTACATTTATACTGTTGCGGCCCTAGGACCGCAGTGTCCCAGGTCAAGTGGAGAACTGTTTTATGTCCTTATTGTCAGCGACCCTTGACTTGTATATACTCATTGTCACCTAAACCACCGCTTGTGTAATTCGTGACAAGGACCGATACATTATCCCTTTAGACGACAGGCATAAGGACCTAGATTGTTTAAACAACCACCACCACCGTAAAACGCTGAAGCTAGCACACACCTCCAATATTATACCAACCAATCAGCAGACAGACGAACCTTATAAAACTATCGACAAGGCATTCACAAGAAGATTCTTCCTAAAAACTCCATTACGACCACAGCGTCATCATTGAGACCCACCAACAACTCAGCGCAGGAGACTGCCTACTACTAGAACTCTCTGCAGTTCAACAACAACCAGGTCTACCTTTATCAAGTTAGAGTAGCGGGCCTTACAACCCTGTGAAACTCCTCGAGCGGGTTGTAGTGTTCGGGACGCAACATATACTGTGTTTGCGTTTTAACACATCTTGCTCCGGAAGCGACTAAGTCGTTTTGCACGGATTATTATTATCGATGGGCTTTTGTAGCGTTTTTACAATAAGATCGGATACACATGAGTGTTAATTGTGCTTCATAGCTAGAAGCGTATATTTAGCGCTCGTGTGTTCCAAGCCTAATTTGACTTTTTTTTTCAGTAAATTCCTGTTCAGTAATATTAAATCACACGCGTTGTCCCATCTGGGGATAAACTCCAGACCCAGAAGACCCGTTACTGTCTTCTGGCAGCCAGATTCTAATTGCTGTTTTATTTCAAGTTCCGTGTCTTCTATCTTCATCATTTTCAATATACCTTACAAACTATTCTTCATTTCCCTCGGGTCACCGAACACGAGGCATTCTTTAGCCATTGATTTTAGAAAGCAGACAACAGCACTTGGGATTTGGCTGACAATAGGCTTGCAAAAGAAAGGACCAGGCTATGTGCGATGTCACGAGGAATTGTAAAAAATCGCCCGCTACGCGGTGAGAGTTTGGCGGCAGAGCACCCGCGCAAGATGTATTAATACCGTTTTAATATCGTTTTAATATCGTAGCTTTCTTGGATCGAGAGAAGAGGAAAAAGATAGATACAGTAACGCGAGTTTCCTTGCTGTATGCGTTGCGTCCCGATCACTGCAACTCACACGGTGGGAGTTTCGCGGGGTTGTGAGGCCCGTTTACGCAGATGCGGCAATGTTGCTGGGATGTGGCCCTACTCTAAATTAATAGAGCTAGACCTGGTTATGGTTGAACTACAAAGTTCCGATGTGTGACTGTCTCCTGCGCTGAGTTGATGGTGAGTCCTGGATGATAGTCTGGTACCGAAGTGGCGACTATGTGATGAAGAGTGTGTACAAATCAAGGAACGCTGGCAATAGGGATATAAACAATCCGCCACTTGACCAGGGACATTGCGGTCCTAGGGCCGCAACAGTATGTAATTTAGATATCGTGAGAATTTCTATTACGGAAACAGTGACAGAATATTCGCTCTTATATAATCTCAGAATACTTTGCAGCATTTCTCTAGCAGTTAAGTTGAATTAAACATTTAACTTTCACTTTCGATAGATAATAGTCAATTACTGTTCTGTTCTTATTCTACAGTTTGTTCACTGTTATTTCAAACATATGGAAGTGTGTCAATAATTCATACCAAAGTAAGCAGTATAACTGTCATTTCCATTGATTTTAGCAGGTACTAAATTCATCTGTAACAGAAAAAAAGAAAAGCGTGAATTACGATGACTAATTTCGTCGTAAATCAATAAAGAATTTTCCTAAATAACTAAGGTGACGATCATGCTACAATGTGGTAATAATTTGTAATTACTTGTGAATTTGCTAATTCGCGGTGAGAGTCGGTTTTAGTCACTATGGAGGGTGAAATAAGAGCAACAGGTCTCGTCGTGATTCAATAAACTGGAGTATTTTCCAGTAGCGAATTACTTTCATTACCACGAGAGGTGGAAACTGTTATTTCGTCAGGTCAATGAAAAGGGTAAGAAAGAATTTTCTGCATCGTTAAATTTATTTTTATTCTTAACGACTTACTCGAAAAATTTTACGGTAATTCTACATGCGTTTTCACTTGTTTTTCATGAATTTTTCATAAATTTTTGATGACAAGTGTATCAACTTTAATTTCGCTTGATACGTCCCGTTTTCCCACTTACCTATATTAATAGTAATTCATTAATCTACTCCTCATGTTATCTTCTCGGAAGGTGTTTCTTTACCCTTTGTACGATATATCTTATTATATCAATAATCGTGAAGGTCGACTCGTAGGATCATTAGAGGGGGGTTTGTTCCGTCCCGAAGAGCGTGTTTATAACATGATTTTTATTCTAAGTTTAGCGGAAGGATAAGGAGATAGGGCTAGTGGTCCAGAAGACTTTCTTCGTCAAAGATTTTCATTTTACTGACGGTCCTTCGGCTCGAGAAGGTTCGACACCCGTCGACCGATCGTCACACCATTGATGGGTTCAAGTGTTTTAGGCGTAAACAGTCGGAGACGCTGCCTGTTGCCTGACTGTTTACGCCCTCTATTCTAAGATCGCTTACATAAGGCTTACACTTTTAACAGGCCTAACGGTTTATTTTATATTTTATACTACGACTGCAATTCCGGAGGTTAGATGTGCCTCAGCGCCGTTCTAGCGGATTAACCCTTTGCACTCGACGAATTTTTGGCTAAAGATGAGTAGGAGCTCGAAGATTTTCTGCCATAAAGCTGACGATAGCTTTTCCAGCAGTAAATAAGAAATTGTATAGTAATTAATGTGTAGAATTATTTCATTTCCATATCCTGCACACCGTTGCATTATGTTAAATTTGACATGTTAATTAATATCGATCTTCGAAATTTGATCAAATGGCGACTGAAGGGCGCCTCTCGAGTGCAAATGGTTAAGTTTATAAAGGTAAAGCAAAGTTTAGGAATTTTACAAGTACCAGACTCGACAGATGGGACCTACGTATGATAGACCCGACAAGCGACGGACGGACACCACTTCTAAATCACGTCATTGACCATCAAAATTCGGCTCCTTGACAGCTCCCTGCTCCTTAGCCGAAGGTTCTTCCGTCACGCCCTCTGTTCAATTAAAACTCCTTACTTTTCCACCACCAACATTTATTTTGCCCAATCAGAACTAAACTGGAGAAAACACCGGGCAGGACACGACGAGACACGACATAGAACAAATTGGAGAAATCAGTTCGTCTTCGATACTGATCCTTGGAACATTTTACTTTCACATATAAACGCTTGTTTGAAACGGTACTCCGTTCAACGTCTCCATTATAACTATTGCGAGAAGAGTCTTTGTTTGGACCGCGCCACCCTGCATAGAGATCTATACTGCCAAGAGGAAGCAGTCAGCCTACACTGATCCTTGGAACATCTTACTTTCACATATAAACGCGTGTTCGAAACGGTACTCCGTTCAACGTCTCCATTATAACTATTGCGAGAAGTGTCTTTGTTTGGACCGCGCCACCCTGCATAGAGATCTATACTGCCAAGAGGAAGCAGTCAGCCTATCAGTTTTAGAAGCAGGACTGAGTGACGCAATGGGTCCTCACAGGGCCTAACATTCTTTCGACAATTCACCATCACGCATCTGGCAAGACTCAAGCCTCCGCATACTCGTATTGCCAGGGAATGAAATATAATTCAAG